ATTCTTGGCCTCCCCTTCTTTAAACATGAGGAAAATGTTGTGCTTCTGCTTATGTATTACAGAAATGCTTGTCACTATAATAGGACTTGTGCATGTGGTAGTGCATTGAACTAGTACCACCTAATTGTAGTTGTGAGGCTGGTTGTGAAACCTTGCAAGAAAGCATCCATTTATCCTGCAACAAATGGTAAGCAAGCAGTTGTTTCTCAAAACAAATCATGCTTGCAAAACTCTCCAGTATTCTGTATTTTTTGTCTGCAGAACTGAACTCTCATTTGCATAGAGCTAGCTCTGAACTTTAAGAATCTGATGCAGATCGCTACAAATAAAAGAACCAATCTCATGGATATTGTCAAATCAGTCTCAAGTCCTTCCCAGGGTGGTTGGGTTGCAACTGCTCTTAGGTTATCAGTGCCCCAAAGAGCATGCAGAATTGTGAGAAGATGCATCTGCGAGTCTATACTAAGCTATAATTGAAAATCGACTGCAAAAATCTTCTATGCAAACCCAAAGTTGATCCTGAGATGCTTTTACAAAGATTACCCACCAGCTTTGGCTATCACTTTTTAAGGCCCGCTGAATACTTCACACTTAAAGTTGCTTTTACTGTCACCTGTGGATAAGGCAGTAAATCCTACAATTCAGCATAAAGGGAATTAAGACAGGAAATTGCTATTGGAATTTTCCCTCCAAATTTACCCACCCTGTACTTTTCTCTATCAGGCAGCCAGATACCCAGGAATTTTATGTTCTTTTTTAAAAGAGCGACTTTGCATAGGCGCAGGATGAATTGTTGCAGTAGTGTAACAGGTGACGCTGTGGTATGATGGAAGCATAGCAGAGCCAGTATGGTGCAGTGGGTAAGAGGGTGGGACTGGGACTCAGGCAACCCTGCATGTCTTTGGACCAGTGACCAACCCTTAGCCCAACCTACCTCGCAGGGTGGTTGTTGTGGGGATAAGATTGAGAGTAGGAAGAAGAGCATGTCAGCCACGCAGAATTCTTTAAAAAAAGAAAAAAGGCAGGCCATAAATCAAATAAATAAAAGAATGACAGACTGAGATGTGATCCAAGAATTCCCCAATGAAAATTCACGCCTGCCACAAACTCCCTGGGTTGGCCTTAAGCAAGCACCCGTTCTCTCAGCACCACCACCTGCGACGTGTTCTTCAAGAATATTGACCAACTTGTTAGTCCTGTATTTGAAGCATATAGATCAGTATATGGATGTTTTGGTCTACAAATCAGCCAAAGCCAGGATAGCCATACGAACTGCAGGACACAACTAGAAGTCCGCAAGTTGCCCACCTCTTGCAAAGATGCTACGTATTATAACTAGCCATACAATTCCTGCAATCACAAGTGCCGGAGAGATGTTTGCACTCTAGTTCTTCTTGACGCTCTTGCAGAATCAGTTGTCTAGATCGTTCTCTTTCTAGCACTCCCCCACCCACTTCCAAACAATGCTTTACTCTTTCCCAGAGGAGCTAAAGGAGTACAGATGAGGACACTGCAGGGCTAGAGGCCAATTCCACTTCCCGACCAAAGTTCACTCTGTCACAGAGAGTCAGAGCTACTTCCTACATGCATACATTATTAAGTTAGTTAACTATCTACATGGCAACCTCATTCCAAATGTTCAGCACAAGGCAGAGCTTTGCATCTTAAACAACCTCCTTCCCCCTAAGACCCACATTCAAATTTGCCTTCTTAGTGTTATTTTAAACAGTACACACTTCAGGTAATGTTTTCCTCAGCTGAACTTGTAATCTGAACTTGCCTTTCTAAGGACAAATGATAAAGCCTGCATTTTTCCAAGGAGTGTGCATTTTTACATACTCAGATGAGCCTAAGATGAGGAGGTCAAAAAATGTGAGCACATCCAGGCAGAACTGTCTTATAGGAAAGATGTTTCAGAGCTCTAGTTGGATGATACACAACTGCCCAGCTTCCTGAAAAAAGTCGTGCCGCAGAAGCAAACATTCATGGCAACTTAATCCAAACAGGATTCAACAACTTCTCTATCAGTGCATTCCCTCCTGCATCGTAATTCGTTTGCAAGTTTTGCACAGATCCATGCATAAATTAAGTCTTTCTAGGTGCCCCTTCCCGATAGCAGACTTCTTTCCCACCCTGAAAATCACTCAGAAGGACTGGGGACCCTACAACACAGTACTTAAAATGGTACAAGGGGCTGCACACATACATACCAAGACCTGAAATCAAAAGCATTACTTTACACAGCACCTTCAAATGTACACTGTTTCGATACAATTCAAATTAAATGTTTCTAGCCTACAGAGCTTCCATTTCAAGTTGTGAAAGTTGAGAAGATAGGTGTTTTCAAATTTTGACAAAAGGGAGGATAGGAAAAGACACAGAAAATAAAGAATGAATGTGACCAAAGTCACATAAACTCTGTTTCATTAGGAGGGTAAGATTAAAGGTTACGCCATGAACAATCTTAATAGTTCTAGCAGCCCTAATGGGAAAGGCAATCAGGCAAGCATATACATAGAATAAGTTGCCAGAAATTGCCTTACTCCCCTTACCGTTTCAATAAAATAATCAATTTTAGTACCTCTCAAAAGTATTGTCAGATCATCTCACTTGCTCCCTCCTAATTATGTGAACATATCAGATGACATGCAACATCAGATGAGATGCGCGGCAGTACTTTCTTGTTTTGTGCTTTTTAAAGGAAGGACAACAGGTTATTCCAGCAAGCTGAAACAGGAAATTAGAACAAATGAAGTCTTTCCAACACTGAATTACTAATGCAATAAAGGAAACTGAGCAATAGCAACTGATAACTCTTAAGTCTGCAACTCTCTGCAAGGGCAACAGTAATGACAATTTAGTGTTGGGATGTCAAATGCAGAGGTTAACTGTGAGTCAACCAACGAAACAGCAATCCATCAAAACAATGAAGCAGAAAAAAAGGAAGGGAAGGGGGAAGAGACCCCTCACACTTTTGTAAAAGCCAGCAAGAGCGGAAGCCCTGGACTGAGTGAATTTCTCTGGCTTAGAGGTGATTATACAGTAGGCTAGGTACAACTCTATAGCTGCGTCACCATGAACTTCCGCAAGCAAGACTGCCAATCTACTGGTGTTTATTTGGACAAGGTTGTGTACAGTGCTCTTACATTGCTTTCAGCTAATAAAATATCAAAAGAGGATGTCGAAGAGTTCACTATGAAATGTTGTACCTAGGGGGAAAAATGTGGGGAAGAATTATTTTTTTTTACATACCTGTGATATACCCAAGCAGGTACTTGTTACTTGTATGTACATATGCACAGCAACAGCAAGGCAGAATTTGTCATTCATTAGCACAGTACTGCTGCACAGCGCCTGATCTCTTCCACTAATGAGAAATTACCCAGGAGGCAAATCTTGGGGTTTCAACCAAATTGGGTTTCCTGGTTTGTTTCTCCCAAGCCAGGAACTGGAAACCAATTATAAACTCTGGCTTCAGATTCTGGCTTGTTAGCAGAGCCACAAAATAGGTGTTCCCCATTTGGATGGAACGCCAAGCCTATGCTCCCTCGTTAGTTTGTTGCTGCATGCAGCTCCCAGGTTATGAACAAGTTCTGTCCTGAGAAAACAGAAATTCATCTTTCCATCTAATGTGTATGGAACTCAGATGATGCACAGTTGGCCTTACACATTTGTGGGGGTTAAGTGTGCAGGACCCCCATGAAAGTAGAAAAACTGTGAATCTCTCTCATCAGTGCCTCCTCTTTGCAGCAAGGAAACACTGGAGGTTTCCCTCTCTGGATGGGCGGGGGCAGGAAGACATGCTCTGGAGGCCCCCCTCTCTACCCTTTCACTTCCCCTCTCTCTACAGTGATTTTTTAAAGTAATTTCTAAAAAGATGATTGGCTTTAGTGCAGTGTGTTCTTAAGTATGGGTTGTTCATAACTCAGGAATGCCTTGTACTCTGGCTGCTTGTGATGGTGGATACTGCGAAAGATTGGGATTGCTGCTCATGACTGAAAAGCCAGGATTCTCTGGAACTTTGGTAAATTACATGCATACAAGTCCACAATGTCCAAGATGATATTAATCCTAAAATGAACCTACACTGGTTATTCCGATAAGATTGCGTTACCTTTCACTCTTACCTATTTCTTCCTGCCAGGTATCTCCTTAATCCAGGATCCAAACGATTGCAAGATGCTCTTTAAGAATCCTGGTTCATCTCAACTGCTGTTCACAGCCATGAAAACACCTATTAAACTGCGGTTAAACAACAAGTAGAAAACTTGATGGAGATACCAGGTGTGAAGGTGCATTTCAAAGGCCCATTTGTCCATATGGATGAACAAAGGCCACAGTGTGTCATCTATGTTGGCCCAAAAGGCTCTTCAAGAGCAGAAACCAAGCTAGCTTATCAAAAACACAGTCCCCCTTCATTTGCTCCCAGTTGAACATTTAATATTGATACACAGAGCACAAATCAACCCAAGTGAAACACGCCTGAGCTCCCTTGATTTTAATGGGAGTGCCTCTCTATGCCAAGGCACATCAATGGGAATTAGCATGTGGGGACAATCCAGCCCAAGCTGACCTCAGTGGGAAAATTCAGCATGTGCTTAGGGATCTCCAAGGGAAGCAGCCATGTATAAATGACTTTGGTTGGATTTTGCCATTTGTCTATTACGATTTTCTATTCTCCAGCCTTCACATGAGAAGCAATATGTAAAACTGTGCAAGATTGTTACAAGATACCCAGCATTCCTTCCTCTTCCAGAAGAATGTGTGCAACACCTTGTCCAGGTACGCCACCAAATGAACATTCAGCTAAATTAGTGGCCCAGTTAAAAGCAGATGCACATCTCACAAAGGGATTAATACTGATTTACTGTCCTATGCACCAAACCGTCTGAAATAAACCCCGTTGTGTAAAAGCTACTGAGCATGAATCGCTGGAAAAAAGCATTTGCTGAAATGGATGTCATACTGAGGAAAAAATGAGACTTTGTTCCACTGCAAAGTGAAACCAAACAATTTATTTGTGCTAAATGAATGGAAAGAATGTATTTCAGAATACATTTCTTTATACATTGTACCGGCTTATGCTGCTAAATACGCATTTGCTATTGTCATCTAACTTTCTCTGTAATCTGTTCCTTTTCTACCAAGCAATACAACATTTTCGGCTGTTATAGCAATATGCTGCTATTTTGTGCACTTTCAATCACATTCTGATTTTTCTTTGAATGCTTAAAATATTGGTTCAAACTTTCAGGGGAGGGTGTTACACAATTAATATATTTTAAACAAGGGGAAGGAAATCAGGCTTTTTGTTGTTGTTCGTGTTGTTTTTAATACGAATTGCTTTTCTACAGCAGAAAATCAGAGAGCACATTTTAACCAGCCACAAGGGTTTGTTGGCAGAACCACACTTACAGAAGATTATTGTGATGAGGACAACAGTATGGACAATTTCACAGGCCAACGTGAATCAGAAATGAAACAATCAACTCTTAAGGTCCATGGATTAATACATTCTGTATACTCTGACAAGTCAGGCTTCCCACACTGCAATTCAGACTGTACCACGCACTGGGAGAAAGGTACGCTTTTATCATTTACAGTTTTACTGCTGTCTCTGAAAATGAAGGGGTATAATTAAAAAAGTGAGCTTGGGCATTAATGTATCTGGAATTCCATTTTTGTATTAAAAGCCGTATCATTTTTATTACCGAAATGGAGTGCTGTTTTCCTATTTATGCTTGAAACACTGCGATATCTAGGAATTCGTAATATACAGCCCATGCCTGTAATTTCATATGCAAATTGTCGATGAAAAAATATAAAAAGCTGTCCCTTTTATTTTACAAACCTAGAAGTGAAGAAAGGGGTGGAGGAAAGAAACAAACACAAAGCTTTGGGAGCTCAGCAAAATGTAACGCCGTAATACCAAACAAGGTAGCAAATGTTCCAGCCAGAGGGTGGACAGACATGTAAGTTGAAATAAAACACTGATGGATTTTTTTTTAATTAGTGCTGCAGAGTCACAACACTGGCTGCTTTACAGCAACTTCAAATATAGCACACCTCTTGGGCAGAAAGCACTTCCGGGTGTTTAAAAAAAGCCGTAAAGCCACTATGTATTCATGTGATTGCCCACACACCGGTCTCATGCTTTCTCCCCCATGGAAGTGCCTTCCAGGTAGGAAACGTGCTAACATGGGAGGCAGCCCTCGGACAAACTTCTACAACACAATTAAACAGTGAAGCCTCAATAACTTCAGTGCAAATAAGTCAAATCCAAATATACCATTGTAAGCCTTTGGCTTGTAGTAAACTGCTCTGTGTTATGAGTCCAACTCTGAATACAGGTTTGTTGAGCACATGCACTAAGGCTGAGAGGAAGGGTGCACTGAATGTTGAAAAGTGGCTGACGGGGGAGCTGACGACTGGACCGCAGGCTGTGGAGGCGGTGGCGGCGGTGGCGGAGCAGGCTGCGCTGGGGTCTGAGTATTTGGAGAAGGAGGAGGGGTGGGACGCTTGAATTTGTCAGGGCTGTTGCTTCTTCGTGGCGAAGGTCTCTGCGGAACAAAACAGGGAAGCCAGGGTGTCACCTGCACACACTCAAAAAAGCAAGGAAGCCGTTCTCTCCTGTTGACACATTAGCTTGAACTCTAGTTAATTCCTGCTGGAGAAACAGCCATTAAGCAAAGAGGTATCTCAGGGGACCTAAGCTGACTTCTTCCAAGATCAGGCTCACTATTTTGCAGAAACACCAGTCAAGTGAGGCATGACACATAAAAGGAGTTCCAGTGTTGATCTCGCCTAGGAAAGACAAGTATTTTGCTGGCTGGCTCTCCTTTCTGTGTGTATGAATGGGTGCACATGCACACAGGTGGAAGAGAGCGTTCAATGTTCCTAGTCCTGAATGAAACCAAGAATCTTCCCTCTATTTTGTGATTTATTGCTGCTGCTGCACCAAGCACCAGCGTCTTCTTGCCATGCTAAGCGATCCCTCAGTTGAATCTGGGCTTTCCCCCCATCCTTCATGTTTGGCTTTATGGGCTTGCTTTGCGCCCCCTTCCTTTTGCTCAGGAAGTGAGCTCATTCATAAGGGTCTTCAAGCTGTTCTGGGTGGGGTCCCACTCCCCTTGGCGGAGCAGGATGGTTGCTTGGGGGGGTTCTCCTTGATCCATCCTTGTCGCTTGAGGCTCAGGTGGCCTCACTGGCACAGAGGACCTTTCACCAGCACTGGCTGTGGCCCTTTCTGGACAAGAACCCATCTGCGCTGCAGCAATCTCTAAATCGGATTACTGCAATGTGCACGGTACGTGGGGCTCGTCTTGAAGACTGCTCAGAAACTGCAGCACGTGCAGAATGTGACAGCCAGATTAATCACCGAGGTCCACAAGTCTCAGTTCCTAACACCAGCCCTGGCCCGCCTGCACGGGCTGCAGGTATGCTTCCAGGCCCAATTCAAGGTGCTGTTGGGAACGAGAGGGCCAGCTGTTCTTGGCATGCGTTCCCAGGTCATGCTGATCTGAACTTGGCAGAGGAGGAACTGGAGAGGGCCTGGGAATCTGGGGCTTCAGACTCCGAGATGGGAGGAGCAGAGGAGCTCATTTCAAAATGGCCACACTTTAAAACCTTTGTGTGTCGCCCAACTGGGCCACAGCACCTTTCACGGCTTATCTCATGGCCACTCTCTCCAGGTGCCGAGGCCAGCCCTGAGAATACCCACAATGTACAACTGTGGCAAGGGGGCACGGGAGAGGAGTTCTCAGAGCCAGCTGAAACTGGCACGGCTCCTGGCCCCATGATGTGGCATCAGGAGAGGAGGGCTGGCCAACCAGAGGGATGGTATAGAGAGAAGGTGCACTCACTTCCAACAGGACCCTCCCAGAGGGATGGGGCCCAGATATGCTGAAAAGGAGGGCCCCCAGAAGTAGTTGCTAGGTGGGGCGGGGGAGGGGCTGCTGTAGGTCATGCTCCGTATTGATTTTTGGATGGAGATGAATATGACATTTACTATTTTTTTGTAAATCCCAATACTATAGATGACTTGCAGAAAATTAAAAGCAACCAACATAAAGAAGATCATTTCAGAGGCTGATGTTGACTTCTCTGATACTCACTGTAATACCATGGGATGGTCCCATATGCTGCACATGAAGGCCTGGGGAGTTATAATAAGACACGCCGGCTCTTGTTAGTGAAGTTGGGGGAGTAAAACCAACTGTGTGACTTGCATATGAGAGACCTAAAACAACGAAAGCAGGACAATGCATGGTTGCAAATATTAATGCATCATGGTATGCAAAATGTCAAGTACATCAGAAGGGAAAAAGCAATCCTGCCCACCAGGCAAATTAATGGCACTTGACCATTTGTGCTTACTGGTGTTGATATAGGCAGGTGACAAATTTAGTTATTTTAATTTCTAGCATGGTTGATTCCCAAAGACTGATGTGGATAACAATAAGGAGTTCACATGACTCCAGTCATGCTCACATGACTCCAGTCCTCCGTCAGCTTCACTGGCTTCCCATTGAAGCCCGGGCCCAATTCAAGGTGTTGATTATGACCTACAAAGCCCTAAACGGCTTGGGTCCTGGCTACCTGAACGAGCGCTTACGTCCGTATATGCCCGACCGCCCTTTGAGATCTGCGGGAGAGTCCCTTCTCCGGGAACCCTCCATGAAAGAAATTAGGAGGGTAAGTACCCGGAGGAGGGCTTTCTCTGCGGTGGCGCCCAACCTATGGAATTCACTCCCCAAAGAGGTCCGCCTGGCACCGTCGTTACTGGTTTTTCGGCGCCAGGTAAAGACCTTTTTATTTAAACATCATTTCAATTGTTAAAACATATGATCTGGCCAGGGCAACTTCTTCCTTCTCTTTCTCCTCCTATATTTTTATTTTATACTGATAATTTTAATTTTATTTTTGTAAATCAATGTATTCTTTGTATTGTTATATTTAATGGTAATTTTATTATGTACTATTGTATTTCAATGTATTTTATCATGTTGTAAGCCGCCCCGAGGTTTCGGCAAGGGGCGGCATAGAAATGCTATCATCATCATCATCATCATCATCTGAGCTACTGACTTAAGAGAGAAAGTGGATGGACTTAGCAGGCTGCTTCCAATTAATCAGCATTGGAACTTCAAGCTGGTTTCCTGCTAAGAAGAAATGCTGTAGACTGTGTAGAGCAAGACAACTGTCCATAATAAAATGGAAGATACTATAAAAGGTGAAAAGTAGGATGTAGAAGGAACCATTATTTTGTGTGCATATATGTTAAGTAAGACCTTGCACATTCTCGCGCAACCCTGATGGTTGTATTCCCATTTGTCTAAATGTTGACACATTTTACTTCTTGAATAATAAAAAGAAGATGTGAGATGAGTACTTCAAGCCTTTACTTACTACTTTTCTATAAAAATCACACACACACACACAAACAGGGCACAAATATACTATCATGCTGTACACATAAATGTAATATGGTGTGTGTATGTGTATATATATATATTTATATTTACCAGGTGATATAGGTCTGCTAGAACTTGGTGAAGGCGTATATGGAATTGGGCTGGACACAGTGCGAGGTCTTAATCCTTGTGCAGACATCTCATTAAAATATCTAATTTAAAAGATAAAGACTGATTAATTTTACCTTCCCACAGCTATTTCCTAATTTTAAATTTAATGTTTAGGTTTTGTCTGGCTTCTTTCCTATAGCATAAAACAAATATAAAAATACTGGAGAAGCATCAGCACAGAGTCAGTACAGCTTCAATGTTCAGTGAATTACTGAATTAATTAAAAAATAGGACAGTCAGTAATCAAAACAAATGAAGTACTTTTATACAAGTAGATATAAGAACAAAAAGCAGCAAAGCTCTGCCTCCAAAGCTGCATCTCTCCTTTCTCTTATAATGCAAAGAATTCCTCTGCTTCTAGTGCCTATAATAAAAACTGATGTTTGTCCTTTAAAAAATGCAGATTTACACAGATTTAATCAATTCATTTACCCATTAAAACTCATATATCAAATGATTTAACTGAATCACAGTGCTAGCAGGGAGGTGGGGTTTAGAGCATTCTTACTATCTTCACAAGTCTAAATTTGGGCCAATTTACTAATTAAATATAACAAAACTGAACTGTAGAACATGTGGCCCCTTCAGAAGTTGTGGGACTACACCTCCTGTCAGCCCTAGCTAGAACAGCCAAGGCTGAGTGATGACAGGAATTAAGTCCAGCATAAGTTGGAGGACCACACTGCATCAAAGAGGGACCACTCTTGGCACTCATGCCCTGGCTTCCATCAAGTGGAAGGGTATCCCTACGTGGGACAACCATTGGACAGAGCAGACCTGTGTTAAGGTTGCCCTTCCTCAATCGGCTGTCCTGCTGAACCGCATCCAGGTATCATTATGCTGTACCCCTGCCCTCCCCTGCTCCGCTCTGCCAGCTGCCATGGGATGAAAATGATCAGCAGTCACAAATATAAGACATAAAGGGAGATGCTACACATCGCAGGGAGAACCTAATGGGGGGCTGTGGCACTTGAATATACTGCAGCGACACCAACCTCTCATCATCCATTTCCAGACTGGATTCGCTTTCCGACAGCTGTCTGCACAAGGCTTCTCTCCGCTCCATCTCCCTCTGCAATTTTCTCTGGAGCCTCAAATTCTCTTCTCTCATGTGACGCTCTTCCTCTAAATACTGTGCCATCTTCTCTGAATCTGAAATGTCCAGGTTTTGCATTAGCTTGCTATTAATAAACCTCACTAGCTGTTTTGCAGGCAGCATTTATGGTGCATCACTTACAGTTCTAAGCTTGGTAAATTAATTGGCATATAGGCAGCTGAACAGACAGAATAGTTCTAACTGTGGTTAGAACTACCACAGTTAAAACGAATCGGGATCAAATAGTTGTCTATTCACCACGTTCATGGGTACACAACAGGGAACTGCAGTCTGTTGCAAAGGGAAATCAGAAACTTTATTGTTCTGTATATATGGAAGCGCATAGCTCAGATAGCTTCAATAACCATAATCTACTTCATTGATCAGGGTGACAAATATCTGAACTAGGCCAGACACTGCCACTTTAGAATGACAAATGGGAATATTTTCAGCTATGATAAAATTACCACCAGGCATTCAGTTGCGAGTCTTAGAATGGTGCTCTCTCCCCCACTCTAAGCAACAGTAACTGTTTATTTAGATAATAGAAATGCCCATGGAAAACCAATTTAAATATGCTACCATCTTAATGACCATTTACAGCAGGTTGTTAATTTGCTTCTAGACGAGTTTTTTCTCAATTCAGCTTCACAACCTTGCCAGGGAGGCTTGCTTCACACATGCGACTCAGCCACTGAACAGTACAATTGAGCAAGGAAGCCTCTATAATCCCAGCCCAACATTATCTTGGGCATTTTTTTCTGAAGAGGATGAGCATACATGTTACAAGTGGAATAATATGCACCACCACAAACGCTCCATTTTGCTTATACCAATGACTCCTTTGCACGCTGTTCTCATAGCATGAAAACAAGACAAGACAGACCTGGACCCCACAGGAGGAGCCTCCTTGTACCAGCACTACCCCCCACCCCCAATCCATGAGAGCCCACACTAGTATGGGGAGGAGCCACCGAAAGATGGTAACTGAGGAGGCATATCCATATGCAGAATCATTTGTCTGCACAGAAATCTGACACAGGAGATTACTTTGGAACTGTGGCCGCTTCAAAGACTTCATGCAGATTTTGCAGTGTGTTCTTTTAGAAGTAGCCAATGGTGGCATATAAGGTGATAAATCATGCACATTCAGGCATGTGTCACTGCACTTGCCCATTGGGTCATTCAAGGACTAGAACAGAACATTCAGAAGATACAGTAGAGCAAAGCCAAGATTCACTGTTGAGCTAATAAATCAGACCAGCATTTCCACATACACAGTCATCACTCAGAGGCCTTGTTCCCACTTTTCACTACAACAACCAAAGAGGCTGATAAGCACATAGAGATTAATACGCCTCAACTTCTTCAAGTGGCGTAGATTGTAAATTTTCCAGTCCAAAACATATTTCTTCCCTAACTGCAAATTATACCTCAGAAAGCTGAAATATTTATATTGCTCTGCCAAAATATTTTATTAGAACTGAAATATGTTCAAAGATTTTATTAGAAATGAAACTAAAAACAAGTGATTTGGAATTAAAGAAGAAAATGGAAGTGTCACTAGTTGTACAAATATCTAAAAGAAATTAAAACTGGCAAATGTTTACAAGATTCTAGTTCATTCCACCGAACAGAAATAAGAAACTGGGACAACTCTTGCATTTGCCATCTTTCAAAAAATCAGTTCAGGTAATTACCTCCTCTTCCTGTGTTTAAGTGTAGTAAGATAATGTTTGGACTTCGGAATTACATGCTTGCTTCTATTCCACTTCCTGTATTAGAAGTTACCACCTAGGCTGGACAGTTTCCTTGAAATTAGTTATTTGCAAAGTATTTCAGTCAGTTAAGGGTATACTCATGAGCATGTTTAGAAAAATGTCCTATGACTTTTCTTGGTTGAGGAATGTTGGAAGTTTAGACCATTTTTTTCTCTCCAAACATGTGTACAGCTGCACCCTAAACGTTACTTAAAAAAAAATACTGCTCAGATTTTATTTTACACATGACTCCACGGACCACATTTGCTTGCATCCAATATCTATTCTAACCTTGAAGTGGGGCCCTAAATTAGACGAATACTGGTTACAACCCACTGAATTGCTTTGCTGTGGGGGACACATTCAACTTCTGAGGCAAGCATTATATAGGACGTAAGAGGTTATATTCTGTAATGACTGTCAGGTGAAGGCTGGTCACCTCCTGTATCACAAGGAGCCCTGTTTTGTCCACTAATTATCACTCTCATTCCTTGAAGGTTCTGGGAACTTGGCCCACAGAATCCAGTGCACCAAACTGTGTGCTGGCTGGTCACCCCTTTTCTCCAGTGAGTGACCTGTAGCCCCCTCACTTGTCTCTAAGCAGACAAAAGTGGAAAATGGAAAAGGCATCTAGACTAAAGGAGAGGATCTGCATTAAGCTGTTTGGCATTACAGAGTTACAGAAGTAATGTTTTCATTGCTATAATATGCACTCTTGCTCAAAAAAGGCAGGGCTTACAAAATGGCAGTGTCTCTCCTGTTTAATCTCACACTAGCCTGAGACCTGGTGACATTTTTACAATTTCAAATAGCAGATTACCTTTAACAGTTATGCAATTGAAATTGTCCAGAAGGCTGATGAGCCAGACAGTTTAAATATTATGCAGCTCAGCAAGTGGTTATGCCAAGAATATTTATGTATTTCTTGAAAGTGAAACTTATTGAAAATGCAAAACATGCTATGGTTGCATTTTAGCAAAGATGGCAAGATTCCACAAAAGTTTGCAATAAAGTTGTTCGGGATCCTTCACATGTGCCAGTTGTTTAAAAGGCCTACATGAAAAGTTTAGTTATCAAACATAACTACTCCTTGATAACACTGCTTGAAATCTATAATTGTCCTTTTTTTTTAATAGGCACAGAAGTGGAACGAGAGAAAATGGTCTTCTGCACTACAATAATTTTATGTATAAACGTTAATTTCTTGAAAGCATATATCAGCATAAGGCATGAGAGTGCAGAGCCAAAGTAAACTGGACTTACGCTGTAACTGTGCAGCTCTGAGTTGTTTCTTTAACCTCTCTACTTCATTCTTTAGAAACCTGATATGCCGCATCATATTCTCTGGAGAGTCTATCTCCATTGATATGTCCCTTGGTGATGGAGGAGCAGATACAGGCTGGTCTAACTTCTCCTGCAAAATTCTGAAATACAAATAATAGGATATTGTCTTCTGAAACAAAACTCACACATTCTGTTTCAATTCTTTGTAATATTATGCCATAAGAAAAGCCACAACATGATCTGAAAAGGTCACTGTTCTTTGTGTTAAACCCATCTCTGTAAAATTAACATGTGGGTCCAGTTTAGATGTACACACAAACCATGGTTTGTTTTTAAATGCATGAGCCATACAATAAGCCTTGGGCCTGTAGAAACTTCTCACCTTCACATGCACAAGGGAGAAATCAAATGCTTCTGTTCAGGGCTTGCAATAAACCCATTTGCTGTTTTGTCTGATCACACCACACTGTGGCTTGGACCAACCATACTTGGTTCACTAACATGGTATCAGTGAATGCATATGAAGGAATAAGAGAGAATGCAGAAAGCGGAGGGGCAAAAATGCAGAAAGCGGAGGGTCACTACAGCTCTTGTGTATAATGACAAAGCACCATCAGCCACTGCACTGAGACTGGGCTGCTCCTTTTAGCTAATGGTCAAATCTCCACTCCTGTCTGTGATATGGCTACAAATCATACAAATGTTGAGCTATAGCTTTGTTACACACATTTAACAAAATGCGCTATCATTTGTTGTCCCTCTTGTTGTCACATTTCATCATTCTTATTTTCTTTCTTCAGGTTTTAATTATACCTTGTCTCTATTCTTACTGCCTATATTGCATAGACATCCTCAAATGCACTTCCCGGACACAATCAGCATTGCTGAGGATTGACGGATGAACTGAGAAATGCCAACTTCCAACAGCAATGTATGGACACGACCACAAGATTGCAGTATAGGTTACTTTCAACAACTGTGTGCAAACTGATTTAACCTCTATTCCCCTGGTGTTAGCACTGTGTGAGAGTAAATAGCACTCTGTATTGATAGTGCAAAGCTGATAAAAGAGAAGCAAAGCTTTAACAAGTTATTTATTGTATGATAGTGTTCATATTGTTGTCACCACATCAGAGTATGTATTACTCTAGCACTTTCCACACCAAAATCTATAAGGAAGGTCAGCATTATGGTTTTCACTTTGCATTCTGGAGGAAGGGGCCAAGAAATAATTGAGATTGCCTAAGGCAGGGCTGAGTAACCTTTTCCTCCAAGGGGCTCATGCAGCAAAGGGTGGGGGCCGCGCACTGGTGGTGAGCATGGCCAGGGCCAGAATCCCTGTTCCACCACTCACACATGCACGTTCATACAGGGACAGCGTCTCTCTCTGCCTTCCGTCAGCTCAGCAGCACGTAGGGGTAGGTATACCATTTAGATGGAGAAGATGGTGCGAAGGGAGGGTTCTTCTGAGACTTGTTCTCCTCCATTGAAATTGCACCTCCCACCCCAAACAATGCAAAGCACACAGGCAATTCGCCCAACTCGACAGCCTGCTGAGAAGCTGAGTGGTGGGCTTCGGGGTGAGGTTGGGCACTCCCAGCAGGCTGCAGTCAAGGCCTCTGACAGGTAGCCTGAGGGTTGTCCATCCATGGACTGAGGCCACCAGTCAGTTCACAGCAGATGGCTAGTTTCCGAAACTGCAGGCTTCACCATTCACGATTCATACATCAGTCTCCTAGCTGCTACACAACACAAGTTCTTGGCATAACCGCTTGCTGAACTGGGCATGTTTATCATTTCGGCCAAGAGGTTTGATTAGAAATCTGGGGAAGCACGAAGGGGAGTGGTAGAGTTCTCCAGTACTTGGTAAGATGACACAGAGAATCAGCTTCCCAAGGGATCACTGAGTGGGCAGCAGCGCACAGCCCATGGCCTGAAAACTTCACAAGGTCCCTTAAAGATTTAGCTACAACCCCTCACATGTGCCCTGCCAATTTGCTGCCACCAGCAGTGGAGAAATGGCTACCTCAGAGGAGCTCACCGATGTAAAACTTTGTTGGACACTGTACTCAGGGTAGTGCTTGGCATTCACTTAACCTTTTAAATTACTAGTGCTTATTAAGAATTACTTTGAGGTCCCCTTTACTACTTGTGACAATAACCCCGTTCTCCATCATCAGCATAAATAACATGCAAAGTTCAACTGCCACCATTTGGCTGCACAGTCAACATTGCAAACCCTTCTTCACAAAAACACATTTTAAGCAAACTGGAACAGAAGAACTCATGACACAACTGTGCTGCACAGTCAAGCTGCAAGAGAAGCACTCTCACTTCCATGTGTTTGGGAAAACCACATCAAGTTTTCATGAAATGGGAAGATTACAGACATACGAACCTTCTATTAACTAGATTAACAACTGCCACAGTGCAAAACGTACTTCCTTCACATGGTCTGCAGAGATTTCACTGCACTGGTGAAATCCACTAAATGCGGTGAAACGTTCTTGAGAAAACTCGGACTAGTCAAGAGTGCTACCTTAATATTAATTCCCACTTTTAAAAGCAAGTTTCATAACATTCCAATGGCTCCAGGTAGACAAGGGTAGCCTGGTTTCAGTAATCCAGTTTTGAAGGCTGTCCAGAAACAGCAGCTCATGCAAACAGCAGCTGCCAAACTGATAACAAGGACCGGAAGATCTGAACCTATAACAGCCATTCTGGCCAGCTTGTACTGGCTGTCTGTATGCTTTTGAGTCCAATTCAAGGTGCTAGTTTCAACCGTGTAGAGCTCTACACTGCTTGTGACCAAAATATTTGATGGAACATCTCTGTCTGCCGCCATCTACCCGGACACTATGATCAAATTCTGAGGTCTGCTGCCAAATGCCACCTTTGGGGGAAGCTTGGTTTGGAACAAGGAGAAAGGCCTTTCCAGTGGCAGCCCCCCCACCCCCTGCATTATGGAACAAGCTAAGGCCCACCTGGCACCAACTTTAATATCTTTCCAGTGCCAGGTTAAGACCCATACTTTATGACAGGGCATGTAATTAGTTTTATATTATATGGAATTATTATGTCAACTGCTTAACAGATCTTGTGGTTTAATTTGGATAAGCCACTGTAGCTTTTTAAAATTGATTTTAAATTTTGTATTGTATTTTATGATATTTCTATCGTATTTCATCTACCACTGTAAACTGCCTTGAGGGTTTGAGCTATTGGGCAGTACAGAAATATAATTAACAACAACAATAAAGGCAAAGCTTATCACAAGACATCAAGGAAGACCTCCATGGAATTATGAGTCTATGCTACTCAACAGCCCATTCTTGCACAAGATACAGGATTAAAGGGTTCCTGTAACTGCCAAAAATGCACACAACTTGCCTATCCACATAAACAAAAAGGCAATTATGCAGAATCGAGCCAATGGCCTTTCTAGTCCAGCATTTTATTCCCATAGTAGCCAACCAGATACCTCAATGGGAGGTCCACAAGCAGATGAGCACATCAGCCTCTTAACCAGGAAGTCTTAGACAGTCATCATGGCTAGTAGCCACTGACAACCCCATCCTCAACATGTAAAGATGCTACTTTTTCTTTTTCTTTTTTACTTCTTTTATGCATATTCCAATACTTGGCATTGGGGAAGAAGCAAATATATTCACACAGATATTGGACACTTTGCCACACAAACAAATGAAAATAAAGGGGGCAGTAACAGCAATACAAGAAAAGCCAAACCAACCGCTTTTCTGCTTCAAGCTTATCCATTCTCTTCCAGAGGCGATTCACTAGTGCTTCTTGTTCTTGTTCTAGTGTGTTTTCAAGATCAATCTTCTCTCTTCTTAGCTAGGAGACAGAAATTGTTTATTAAACAAGCAAACAAGCATACAGCAAACTCACAAACAGCAGCTGGATCAGTGAGCAGCACATTGTGTGTGAAAACAAACCATTAACTAAAGAAGTGAAGTCAAAGGAATAGGTAACAATAAAAAACTCAGAATGACATCACGGTAAGTTCTTGGAGGGCTTCTGGCTGGCTACCGAGACCAGCCGGAATTTGTGGAGTCCTGCAGAATATGCTCGCAGCAAGAGACATACACCTCTCCTGCTTTCAGATACATTGCCAGAAGCAATGGAGACTGCAGACTGTAAAAGTGCAGGGTCAAGTTTTCCGTCCAGTGACTTGATTGGTACCTTTAGGGTAGGTCAGGCAAAATGACTCCTGAAGATTAATCCTGAGGGGGAGCCGAGTGTGTTTCCCGTGTGGTGGGCTTTCTTTTGGGGACAGACGTAGCATGCTGCCAAGGGAGCCACCAGCCCCAGGGGATGGATACACAGATCCAGGCTGCCCAGGATGCCATGCCGTGCAGCCTGCTGCTGCTGCTGGTGATGACTGGCTGCCCCCCCCCCACACTCCCTTCCAACAGCTGCTGCTGATCCCAAAGGGGCAGCTTATGGAATGCCTACCCCAGACTTTAATTTAAAAAAAAAAAGGTATGTTTATAATTCTGCATATCCTCTAGCTCCTTTCTGTGCATTTCATATTTTTATTATTATGGGGGGTGTTAATATTGCGTTCGATTCTGTCCTGGGAGTTTCAATGGATTGAAAAGCAGGAACTAAATTCACAGATGGATAAAAATTGTTTTATATCAGACACGATGAAGGCTGTGCAGATTTGTACCCTGAAAGCTTCCACCCACAGACAAGGACTCACACTTAAGGATTTCTTCCCTTAATCTGAAATAATCACCCAGGATACAATCTGACAAAAACTGTATTACTCGATTGTAACAGGTGAGTTTTAGTCAATAGTTACAGCTGTCTTTCTGAAGACAGCACAGCCTTGCGTCACAGAGGCAGCATTTTAGAAGATGCATTCATGAGAAAAGCTAGATCAAGAATCTACAGCCCATACTAGAAAATGGTACCTCTCATACAACCCTGGGGCTTGATGCAGTCATCTATTTATCCCACAGTGGGATACACACACGCGCACGCACACACTTGCAAAAAATGTTATTCAGTTGTCTTATGCAAGAGGACCAGCTCTCTCTAGGCAAAAGAATGAACCAGGTGGGAAATGTATTCAGTCCAACAAGGCACTGAGGCTGACCTAACGAACAGAGCTTTGGCAGTATAGAAATCAATAAATATATACAGAATACTTTAAGGATAGAACTTCAAAGGGAGATTTCAACATCTGTACTAGAGATTATTGGTGAACCCAATTCTGTTCTTCAGACCACAGTTAGAACAATGGTTTCCTCTCTAATTCTAAGAAAGAAGTTAGCCTCATAAAGCAAGACAGATTATGCTATCATGCTGGAAAGGTCTCTGGGCTTATCTTGCATCCATATGCAATACTTTCCATGGAACTGTCACACACTGCTTATCTTGGAAATGTCCTGGCTGCTTGGTTGTATTGCTTATATTTTTTTTTCTTTATGTGTACATGTCTACATGCATCTTGGCCAGCTCAAATGACAGTTTTATGTCTTAAGAAGTGGGCTCCAGGGCATGAAAACTTGTCCCACAATAAGACACTAATTAAGGTGCCACAGGCCCATTGGTTTTGCTGCAACAGACTAATCCAACTAATCCTCTGGAAGCAGTTTCTTATGAGCTTGACTGCATCTCACCAGGGTCAATTCTGAGGAAAAGAACTCTGCAGGAGATCTGTGGGCTCAAAACAACTGTTTACAGTATCAACGAGATCCTCCACTCAATAGTATTGTGAATCCTACTGTGATAACAGAAGGTATAGAGACAGAATCATTATTCTTGCGCAGTTTGAAGGAGTATCACCAGATCCAAAGCCTTTCATTATGGATGGCTAGAATGCTACAGATCTGCGGCTGAATTCTAGTGAGCAGAATCCAGCACAATGCTCAAGAGTTTCTCTCCCACCCTCCCTCTGACTGCTAGTTTAAGGTGGGATATCAGGCAACTGTGTACTTGAGCTATCTGCTAAAATGTGGCAAGCTCAACATTCTGAAATGGCTGGAATTCATGATCTTCACCTACAAGGAATGGAAGTGCCATTCTGGACTCCACTAAATTGTGCATGCTGATCCTATTCAGATGTAGTGGCAACTTCTGGTGGGAAATCACAGGCTAACTGCAAATAGTAGGAACACATTCAGCATAGGAGTTGCTTTCTGATTCTATCACCAACCTTTCAATGTTGGGTTTGAGATTTGTTTCTGTGATGCCTGAACAGTGGCATTTTGAGATTGTTTGGGGGTTAAAAAAAACTCCAAGTTAACTCCAGAACAAATCATGTAGCTTTCAAGGGTTGCCAATAGAAACAGTAAGTGGCTCGGGTGCAGGTTGAGTCCCTAAAATTCATAGGTAAATTAACGAGTATTTGTTCCTGGGTGGTGCTGTTACATTGAAAAGGGTCATTTGTGTTCAATTTATCAGGAATCATTCCCAAATACTGCCCACTAAAGTGATCCTCACTCTGGAGCCACTCCCAACCACGGAAGTTTGCACAAAAATATTTACCAGTGAATGCCCTTAAAATTATCAGTTTTTAAAATGCAAAATATGCTTTAAATATACTTTATGCAGTAACCTTATTTTAAGTATAAGTGACATCAACATCCTGTTTTTTAAAATATAACCCAGAAGTCATTTGCCACAACACATACAGGTTTTCAGACTCTTTAATATGATTTTCATACAGATGTCTGAGTGCATTACTGTGATTTTAAAGAAATCCCCCATAAAGCATTTCATGTTATTACATTTTTAACTGGCTTTCAATAAGCTGACTTCAAAACTGCTTAAACCACACACAAAATGTAGTCCTAGATCAACAAGAAAAGTGCCACCGAAACAACAACTTAAGGATTCTGGTAATCCTGCAAAATCAGGATCTACAATTAGTTCTAGTACAGACCATGAAAGCCGAGGTAGACAATAAGTTCTTCACCCATAATAAAAACATTTACTAAGCTACGTAGCAAAATCATTTTAAGCTAAACTGCTTGCTGTGATTTAGGGAACACCTGCCACCTAGAGGCAGTTTCTTTAAGTCACAATAAAACTTGCTGTAAGATAATGTGGCTAATTGCATTATCCTTCATTACTTTTTAGCATCCCTGGATTATTATTGGGCACAGCAGATGTGTTTTAACCCCCAATATTTTTACAACATCAGATTTCATTTGCAGTGTGAAATGTCATCTTATGTATGAAACTGGGTTAGATAGCATTTTTCATGTTTCAGAATCTAGACTTCACAGAAAGTTGGGAAAAAAGACCTACCTCACATCAGCGACACTAGCTGCACATTGTTAGTACCCCACCTAAGAACATTTCTGAGCACTGATCAGAAATTTGCAAGAACCACAGCTTTTCTAACTACCCTGGAAGCAAAGAAGCGTTTAACTCTCACTCTGTTGTGACAGAGATACTGGGTTATTAAAGCACAGCAGACAGATGGTGATGGATTGCTTTGTCTCCATTATTCTATTAGTGAAAGACTACATAGAAGCAATCACTTATTGGTATGGCATTACCTGCGTAATTGCTGGAGACAATGGTAAACTGTCTACCTCTTAGGGCTAAATCAGGTGGCTGCAGATTCAGTCTCAGCTTTCACTTTCCCCATATTTTATTTATTACATTCCTATCCCACCTTTCCTCCTTTTGAGAAACTCAAGGCAGCTTATACAAGTCTCCCCTGCCTCCTCTCAGTCTTATCCTCACAACAACCCTGTGAGGTAGGTTGGGTTGAGAGTCTGACTGGCTGAAAGCCATCCAGTAAACTCCATGGTTGAGTGGGGACTAGAACCCAGTTCTCCTGAGTCCCAGTCCTGCGTGCTTAACCACTACACCACACTTTACATAATATACACCAACATGCTATGCACCATGATCCTTCTCTAGTCTCCAATGCTCAGCTTGGATCCCAGAAAGCATCAACAGATCCTGACTGGGACTGACCTCATCGATCTTACCTCCTTCCCACGGCCAAGAATCAAAAAGGGGTATTAATAGCAAACAAGGAAAAGGCACTTATTACTAGGGCCTACCTTTTAAAATGAACAATGGCTTTCAAATACAAGTCTCAACTACTGGGTCTATAAAGGAACAGGTTTTTTTTACTACATTTTAAATCTCTATTAAGAATGAGAAAGTAATCACGTTTGTTAACGTGTCTTCCAACCTTGGCACCATTTTACACTTGACGCACAATGACGTGGCAAAATTCTGGACTGTACTACTCTTGAGTGCCAACTCAGAAAAATCACATTTCTGAATGCTTCCTAATGTGCAGTGTTTGGGGAATGTAATGCATTCGCAGATGCATGACTCCATCCACCACGTTAGCTTTCTATCAAAGCTGACTTTTTAGATGAGGAGAATGTAAGAAAGTAGGAAAACCTTCCTCCATATGTAAATTAGTGCAGTTACCTAGAATATTCTCTTTCCATTCTGCATAATATGAATAATGGCTGCAGTTTTCATTACCATGGTTATAGAAATATTCCCTTCTCTGTCCCTACCCCTAATTAAAAAGGCTGCCGGCCCGCAAAGCTCCTACTGGAATGCTCCAGTTTATTATCCTAGAGGCAATTGTTCTCAGACACTATTGCCTTTAAACAGCCGACAACTCTGCTTATATCATGACAGATTAAAGGGAGGAAGACAAGGATCAGTGCAGGAAGAATATCTTAGGCACCAAGTATCAATTTTTAGTATGGCTGGGCAACTAAACCTTCCCCAGCATTTGCATGGAATACAGCCCTTCTGCTGTTCCTACGCTATGTAGCAATTCCTACCATTCCAAGTATGCAATTATTTTCTAAAAGCAACAACAGAAAACAGGTTCTTCTGAAGGAGAGGGGCTGATGAGCTGAGGCTGGAGGATGTAGCGGACAGAATATTTGTTGTAAGCACGCTGAAGACTCGGCTGGCAAGTTCAAATCAACCTGTGGTATTCCTCACCCTTGATCCTTGTGTCCTCACGGCCCCCTTAGCCTTGCCAAGCCATAATGCTGCAAAAGCCAGCACAGCCAGAAGCAAGGTTCTAGATCCACCAACCCTCTGCCTCTTGGGCTCCCCAGGTCGCAATCCTCAGCCGGTTTCCTTCTCACCAACTGAGCATAGCGTTAGCTCTACTTCCTCCCTGGCTTCACCCATCTCCAACTCCAGGTCTAAGCCACCCACTGCCACCCATTGCCCTGTTTCCTATGCTGCTGCATGCTTTGGTCAACTTTCTTGAACCACCTTGTCCTTTCATCCAGTCTTCACACGAATCTCCTTCCAACTGCTAACCCAGGGAAGGAGAATCTGAGATATTTCTGGCAGCTCTGCACCCTCAACACCTCTCTGGGCAGGAAGCAGAGCTGCTCACCCCTGCCAAACACCCCTGTGGGGTGGCCCTGTTCAGAAAAAAGGAAAATGTGCTCTTCGAAAATGCAAATAAATTTCTGCTTGCCCTTTTATGGTCTCCAGTATAGTTTTATGGCATGAGCAGAAGGATTCTGTGCAGCGAGTGAATGTGCATGTGTATGTGAAAATGAACAAACCAGAGGGGAGGTGTGTGTGTGTGAACAGATGGACGGCATCATGGATCCATGCAGATGGCAGTTTGAAGGCAGGCAGAGGAGGAGGTGTGGGGCTCACCGCCACTTCATACTCTGTTGCTGCCTCTCTCAATATTCTTTTGAGAGAAAAAAGAAGTGAGGAGTGGTTATTATCTGAGTAGAAGAGCATGGGTTAGTGACGTTCATCACTGCCAACAGATTGCCTTTGAGGGAATGGGGCTATTGGGAGAAAATTGGTTTTCCACTCTAGTGAAGTCCTTCCTGACTGCAAGTGCTGTGAAGCTTATGGATAAATTTTGTGTGGGAGCACTGCTTAATATTTACAGAGGTAATTATCTTAAATTATCAATCTGCTTCCTGGAAGTTAATGCATGGTCAGTTCAAGTGAATTCTCTGTGCCTTTCTGGCAGCAAAAAGACTAATATTACAACACTGAAAGGATAAATGCTCACTTCCTGTAACACAATGGACTGAAGACCTTAAAATGTGTTTAACTGTTGAATGGATGGCACAGAGACTCCACCTGCAAAATCTGCATATCTGACTATTTGATGTGCCTTCACGGAGACATATAGCGCTTAGAAACCTGTGTTTTCTTACACACATACATTTCATACATATGCACTGTAACTGATGTGGTCAAATCTATGCAACTACATTTTTTTTTTGTTGAAATTGTAGAATAAAATATTTTTTTTAAAAAATGCTGCACATTTTCCTTCTGGACTGTTCCCTGTTCCTCTGCCCTTTTCTTCAAACCTTTCCCTACATACAAACCTTCAAGTTTTTATTTTTCAGTCCAGTACCTAAAACTGCACACTTCCTTCAGTCTCCTTCCATCTAGGCTCCCCAACCCGCTTCTCAGACTTCTTCCCATTCTCTGACCACCTTGGATGTGTGAGGAATTAATCCTAGGCAAATGGAAGCTGTGCTGAAAATGGTTAAGTTCTCTGAGCGACTGAACATTCCCTGCCACCAGTCATACCAACTGAATCAGTATCACTTGTCACAAATGCAATGCAAGACAGATGACATGGTATTTACCTGCTCCAGGGTTAGCTGCTTTGAAATGGTATCATTTTCCAGTTTTTTAATTTTCTTCATCAATTTGTTCACCTGAAATTCCTGCTCCTGTTCTAAATGCTGCTCAAGTTCCGCCTTCTCATGCTGTAGCTACGATCAGAAGAGAAACTGAAATTCAAGATGCAGTCATTCCAAAATTACAAAGCCCTTTAAACAACACTTAATTTATCTGTATGCACTATTAGTACTTTTATAGAGATCTGAAAACATAACTAAAATTAGCAACCCCCGCCCTTTAAATGGCAGCCATTTAAGACAGGTAAATAAAAAGCCATTTAAAATAACTTCAACTGCATGTTGAAATAACTTTATCATTACAATGAACAGGAAACTTTTATTTTAGCAATGATGAATGCACTTACTTTCATCTTCTACAAGCCTAAACAATGTAAGGACACTAAAGAGCTAGCTAACACTTTACTATCTGGCACAAGTGGGACAGAATTTAGCTATCTCATCATCCCATAAATTGCTAAGAGCATTGAGAAGTGTTGGGAAGGATGTCCAGGGACAGTTTTAAGAAAAAATAGACTACTGAATCCACATTATTAACATTTAGTTCTAGCCCTGGGATAGGCAACCTTTTGACACCTGTAAACACATCTGGCAATCTGAGAAAGTATCCTGGGCACCATGACTATGATGCAAATGAAAGTATCGGCCAGTGACCACCTGCCATCTTCATTTCATTTCCCTGAGCCTCATATGTGGCCTAGAGGCATTCATGGGAAAATAACATGAGCCAATGGAGGACCTCACTTTTGCTTTGAAGCAATCCCAGCTACAAGAAAGACATTCTATTATTTTTCTTTAACAATTAAAAAGAAAAAGCAGTAGGGATGGGGCACACCTCCGCAGGGGCCAAGGAAGTTGTCCAGGAGCATACGGGTGCCCAAGGGCGCCACTGTGCCTGCCCCAAACCTCAACCATTGTACAGAACTACTCCTACCAGGTCCAGATCCAACAAATTGGATAGCATATTGGATGCAGGCGAAGACTGCAGTTAATGGGCTTAAGTTAAATGTCAGGATCCAAACTAGCTAGTGTGTTAGGCAAGTGAGACAATCCACTCCCACACACAGACAGAATACATACATATGGACACACAGTTCTATTAAAGCTTTGTTCTACAACAATTTTTCTGTAAAAGTCTTTTTTCTGACAACTATACTCTGTTCCAAGATGCCTGCTAACGTGATGCTTCCCTTTCACTGAGTTTCTACAGTCTATTATCTATGAAACCAATTACTGTGTTATATAAAGCAAACTGAACTAAGTGGCTTTACTAAAAGCAACAGCCAAACATTTTGCAACCTTAACTAGTACAATGTATTATAACATACTGTTATGCAAAAACATTCTTAGAAAAGGTATGAGTCTGAAGAAATAATCAACTTGTATGTGTAAGCATACTTTTAAAAAATGGTTAGATTCAAAGGACATTTCAAAGCAATGTCATCCAGCACAAAAACTGAAAAGCTGATACATCAGTGTTTTTTCACCCGCAATGCAAATCATGCTGATCTGATAAATTCCTGCCACAGTGCTAATAGGAGATACCCAACTCTCACACTCGCTGTCAGCTTTTGTATTTACAGTGGACTGAAAAAACCTTCTGGAAATTTTTTCCAGATGCCACTTTGAATCCACTTTTAAATCTTTACACTGTGAAAGGCAAAAGTTCAACAATGAATGCACTCAGGCATTATGACATAGGCGCTTTGCTAACCCCTTTCAACAGCATGCTGTATTAATAATCAGAGATCTTGAAAATCTGCATGACTGGTCTTGCTATAGAAAGCAAAACAGACAAAAATCCAGGACCCTGAATTTGGGTCTTCTACAGGGCTGCACATGATGCACATTAAAGCAAAAGTTCCATTGTTTGTACTAAGGCAGAATGAGCACTCTGTGTTTACAGGATTTGAGATCCCATAATCTACAATTCTAGAACATTTAGCATCAATTTGCCTGGGCAATGGAAAGCTTTAAAAAGTGAGTTTAATTGCTCACAGTTGAAAAATACAGAGTAAGACCTCTAACCCATGGCAGCAAGAAAGTCCACTGTGACATCCCTTGTTCACATGGGTACCTGCAAGCAAGTTCATGAATCAACTCGAGGTGTTAATTAATGACCTAGTTCAGACGTCAAGATCCTAGCTGAATAAATCATGGTGTAAACCACGGAATAAACCATGGTTTATTGAGCGAGCAACTGTGCCTGTGCATTTGTATGGCCTGACCTCCCTCCCACACTGGCCTCAGGTTTAACAGCTACTTAAAAGACAAATTTCCCATGATGCCGAAACTATGCAATATGAAACCAGCACCCATTCATAGCTGTATAAACCATGAGTTATCATTATTACTGTGTAACTGGCCCATGTTGTTACAAGAAACATTCACCCCACCCCCTGGCAAAAGTTCAGAAATTCTATTATCGCTCCCGATTCCAAAAGATAACACTAGAATCTTCCAAAGAAAAACTATAAATTGGAAAGGGTAACTGTAATGGGTAGAATTAGCTGAACAAGAGAGGAACCATCAGGGATCACAGATCTTTCTTTAAAATATATTCTAAAAACTAGCCTGGATGAATGTCTGATGTACAATCATTTTTATTCATAATGATTTTCTCTCTCCCCAAGCATGGTCTTCCACAATATCCTTGGTGAAATTCTGCACCTTGGACACCTAAGTTTTAAATTTATTTTAAAATTCATCACTTGATGTATGTTTAAGATTTTAAAGTGTAATACGACACATTGAACAATGGTGTTATTTATTTAATAAATGCATGCCTCCTTTTCTTCTGAAGAGTTTGAGGTGGCTTGTACCAACCATAATATGATAGAACAGCAGCAAATAGCACCATGACGTGTCAGTCAGCTGTAACATACAGCTGGTGAATACATAAACCAGATTAAAGCCCAGTAGAGTTACACATAAGATTTCAAGACAGTTTGAACTCGCACATATTTAATTAAAATGCCTGAGTCAACAGAAAACATTTGCACTTGCCACTAAACAGTATTTTTCCCTTTCCACCTCTCTTTTATGCTATGTCTTGTCGATACTAAGCCTAAAGGCAGGGACTGTTAATTTGTAGTGATCTGTAAGCTGTTCTGGTAGCAGAACAGGGCAAAACTGGCATATATTAAATTAATTAGTCTAGTTTTCACAAATAGCCTTCTAAGAAAGGAAAGCAATGCTCACCCAAGGATGATCATAAAAATAGAGAAAAATGCTACATAATACACAAGTTTCTTGGCAGATATCCAGATATCCTTGGCAGGAGTCCAGTATAGAGAAAGATTTTCTATCAATCAATTCCACCTTAATTGCTTATTTTTTTATTTTTTTTTTGCCCTGGAGAGATTAGAAAGCCTTTTCTTTACTTACAAACAGCCCCGTCTCTCTCCTTCATCTCAGCTGCCGCTTGCAGTTCTGTGAAAGGAGGGCTTCCCTGTTTTTTTTCCTTATATCAATTAGCAAAAAAAAAAACCAGCGTTCCCACAGGTAATAATGTAAAAAAAACCAGAAAATAAATGTGTCCCAGTAAATCCAACGGCAAATTCCTAAACTAATCTTCTGGTATGTCGGAGACTAATGGGAGGCTAATATTTACATGTTAATCAGAACTGCATCTGGGGAATATTTACTAACATAATGCCAGAACCAAAATATCTATAAAAAGGGATGAAGTCCAAAGCCCACCCAAACAACTTCTCATCGGCCATCCACATGCATTGGCAGTGAGTGGGAGAACAACAGGAAAGAGGAAGGAAAGAATGAATTGGTAAGCTGATTCTTCTGTGACTGGTTGAAGCACTGACCAGCATCCACTGATCATTCCCAGCTTAGCACTTAAAAGTCATTAGTGATTCTATATAGAACGGTCACAGCAGGACATTGAGATTGAAAATTAGTCTGATAAGGATCAAGAGAAGCATCGGGAAGAAAATAAGCAAACCATCCTATGCAGACTTACCAGCAAACTCCGCTGAATTTACTTACTTTTGGGAAAATGTGCCACACAATTAATGCACTGAATTATTTCAATATGGCCTTGAAAAAAAGTCCACAAAAAGGTAAGAGCCTGCTGACATTTTAACTAGTCTCCTATGAGGCCAATAAACTACTTTTCCCTGAGAAGACATCCTCCTTCACAGCTGGCATGGAGATATAAGCAGCTAGTCTCTGAGCAGGCTAGTTTCAAAACAATCACTTTCTACCAGATCCATCCCTCCTTTGATAGTAATTCCTTGTTGCCCATAAAGGAAGGGGAAGTGATCCATTTGTCCCCAGTGAGCCTACTCATTGCCCACATAGAATACCTAGTTGCCTGGACAAGTTGTTAAAATACAAGGCTGTTTTAATCCTTGGTGTTCTCGGCAAACTTACCCAACATTTCCCCTCTCCGATTCCAAGCTTTCAAACTACAGTTCTTTGAAGCTGTAACTGTAAAGATACCAAGCATGTCCTCGAACCACACTCCAGCATAATTTTCTGAGTTAAAGGGTGTTTTCCCTGAAAAGCCAAGCAGAAAAACTACATACCTGCATCAGCTTCCTTGACAGCTCATTAGTAAGAAATTCCTCCTCCTTTTCATAGTTCACTGCAAGTGTCTCCTTCTCCTTCTGTAAAGCTTGAATCTTCTTAAACAGAGTATTACTGATAAATTCCTCCTCTTGTTCTGCCCTGGCTTGCTGTAAGAGAAACATATTCTTCAAAGACCAAAAAACCAGAAGACGACACGATCATATATATTGCCAGGAACGGATTACACTGTGTCCTCGTTTCTTTTCATTGCTGCTTAACCTCAAAAGGCACTGGGAACCAATATGCAGTTCCTCCTTTTCGCTCTCCCAACAAAGACAGCAGCACCATAAGTGCCCAGTGAAGCAGGAGAAAGCAATGCATTTACTGCCTGCACCTATGGCCAAAGCAGTGCTAGACAGCAGGCTCCATGAGTTTTGCCTAGATTTAGCGGCTTTCTGGCTGTGATCAGTTTTATCTCTGTTCTTAACTCCTACACAGCTTCTACTATACCAGCAGTCCTGTGTGCAGACATTTATTTCTGCCGATCCACTGTGATCACCGGAACTAAGACCAAATTATTTTAGCCATCACAAAATGTAGGCCCGCTCACATCACCGTCATTATGCTACCTAATGTGGGAGTCGTTAGGTATAATTTTCAACTTCCATTTACTTATGTTGACATTAATGTAGCAGAAACTGCAGACCTGTTTGCAAAGGAGCTCAGAGAACATCAAACTCATTATAAGGAGAGAAAAAGCTACACGGCGAGACTGGGAAAGGCATATGGTGCCCTGATCTGCTGCCCTATGGTAATCTGGCAGTAGCTTTCCTTCGCTCGTTTTCACAGCTACAGCTTCCTAATTAAGCTTCAAACCTGGGCAGTTGGGACTGGCTTCAGACATCACAACCCACATTCAAGGGTAGTGAACAGGTTGAGAGTTGGTTGCTGTTAAACCATGGACTGCTCTTGAACCATGGACTATCGGTCTGAACTAGCTGAGATAGTAAACTATTTTGAAAAACTCGCAATTCACAACCCAAAAACAAACCAACAAATCATGGGTTCTCATCATGGGTTGTTTGTGGCTAACAAGGCATGGCTTGTTTTCTGTAGTGCCCACCCCCGGCCATCTTTGGAACAACCCCCAGCTGCAGCCTTCCTCACACCAAATTTGCCATCTTTTCAGTACCAGGTCAAGACAGTCCTTTGTATGGAGGCCTTTAAAGATCTTGATTATCTAAGAGCCCAAGGAGATTGTCCAAGTAATCTGACTTCTTTATTGGGCCTTTTTGCTATGTTTATAAAACCACATTTTTACTGCATATTTTAAGCAATTTAAAAGTAAGTTTAAATTCATTTTAACACTGCTGTTTTTATGATATTTCTACTACTTTTTATTGTTCTGTTTTATACACTGTTGTAAACTATCCAGAGAGTTTCAGCTATGTGGTGGCACAGAAATGAAATGAATTAATAAAAGCACAGCTGTGCTTGGACAATGCAGTATCTCAGATTTCAACCCACAATTCAACAACCCACACTCACGCATCTTGTTGTCTGAACCTAGCCCCTGGGGTGATGGTCCATCAACCAACTAACCCAGCAAATAACAGGTGGAATGTCCTTGTGGAAGCAGCATAATGACTGATGAGAATATGGTTCAGTGATTTGCATGCAGAAGGTCCCAGTTTCAAATCTCCCAGCTAAAACCCCGGAGAGCCCCTGACAGTCACTGGATAGACAATATTAAGGTGGATGAGCCCATGATATGATTCTCTATAAAGAAGCTTTGCGTGGATTTCCATACCAATGCATGCTGGGAACCCTGCAATCCACACTCATGAAAGCAATCATGAGAGCAACTATTTAATGGGAATGAAAGAGGCAGTTGTTCTTAGCATGCGTTTCAGGGCCAGGGTGACACAGACTCTTCAGATGAGGAGGTGGCGGCTTGGAAAATGAGGATCCCAGGCATAAAGATGGCAGAGGTGAAACAGTTTACCTCAAGGCCACCATCCCCAGGTATTCAGAGGGACCCTGGAAGAATGCATGAAATAGGAGCCACAGGAGGCAGACAAGCCTGGTACAATCCTTGACTCCATGATGTGGTGTCTGGGGAGAAGGGCTAGCCAATTGAGGGGCCGTGAACAGCTAGGAGGCTTGCCTGGTTCCAGAAGGACATTCCAGAGGGGTGGAGTCCAGGGTTACTTAAAAGAAGGGTTCTTGGAAATAGTTTCTATTCTGGGTTCAGCAAACCTCTCTGTACATGTTCAGAGATTCTTTCTTTGCTGGCTAAAGTTTCACTGCTGGATGAACATCTGGAAAAAAGAGCTTTTGCCAAAGAATGGTTCGTTGCTTGAAAGGGAGTAGAGGGAACCTAGCTCCTGACACTATTCCATGAATATGCTCATCACCCACTGATGGGGAGAACATTATTTAAAAGGGTTAACTAGCCAACAGAACTAGTTGTGCCAGCCTTCAGTTTGCCTGTGGTGCCAGCCATAGCAGAAGTAGCATGACCCAACTCCTCAAGTCTACAAAGGGCAATGGCAGGTGCCAGACCAGGAAGGAAAATTTTCCCCACCTGCCTATCAGTCTTCTCTGGATGTTTACTACTAGTTTTCTATTAATACTTTTGCTTGAAAACCTGAATTCCAGCTGTTCAAACAGTGAAAGGCTACCAGAGCTTTCACAAAGGAAAACTTTCTAAAACTTAACTTTTGTTACTCTATTGAACAATCACCTCTTTTCTAATCACCCGAGTACCATAAGGAACACCACCTTGCAGGGGCTCATGTGTATGAACCCTTCATGACATCTACAGGATGAGAGTGAATCACACAGCTTCTTCCTCCAATAGGCTGATGTGTACCTTTTACTAAAAGTTTCCAAAAATCCACTCCTCCTTGCATGCCTTCCCACCTGTCTTCTTGATTATTGCCTTTGTAATACTTCCGTTTTTCTATTAAGAAGCTTTTGCTGTCCAGGTGAAATGAGATCTCAAGAACATGCCTGAACTATCTGTTTTTGTGTGGTACATTCTCGATCAGTTCTGGTTGGTGCAGCCTTTGTATCTCCAGTTACAGCTCCTCTCCCAGGTTTTTTGTCACAGGAAAGTTATTTATATAAATCAGGTATGAATGTCTCTGCCCCACTACCGGCAAGGTCTGAATGGTCACTATAAGGTTCCCTGCTCCAGGCTGAATGCTGCCATGCCTCCTCTCCAGTACATTTGAAAGGAGACTGAAATATGCACCATTTGGGGTGTTGTTGCTTCAAGTCCTACTTTTTCAAATTTACTCTGAAGAAGAAACAACAGAGTCCTGTTTAAATCAACACACTTGACTGAATTCTATCAAATCAAAATTCTCTGCTGTTTCAGGAATGAGCAAGAAAGCCCTGGAACAATGAAATGTAATGGGGAACAAAATAAAAATTAAACAGCCATCCTATCTGTAGCAGATTTGTCAAATGCCTTAGAATAAAGCTCTGGAGACCCCTACAGAGAACAGAAAACTGCTGCTCTTAACAGCCATTTGTGACAGCACTTCAACCTTTTCTGATTTTATAGGAAACATGATTTATAAGTGGCCTCTATTTTTATGCACAGAGAATGCTACCTTTTGTAAAGACAGCATTTAAAACTTTGGCCTGCATGATTCTACAACTATTCATTTCTTTTCAATCAGTATCAGGTGCAAGCAGTGCTCTCTCCCACCTCTTGTACAAATAAGTGTTTTCAACAGCGCTATTAAATGGCTCTCCTCCCCCTCACTGCTTACCTTTTAAATCAACTTAGGGCTGATTCATGCCTCTGCCCCTGATGAATACTCACTTCTGTTTGCATTAACAAAATCAAACCATCTGTTCTTGTTCTCCTCCAGGAGGTAGCATTAAGTGGGTTAGGGTGCAATCCTATACATGTTTAGGCAGAGGGAACAGGGGGAAGTTCATGGCTGAGGAATGCTGGAGTTAAATGGCTTTTTTCTGTTTAAGCAGGCATAAGATTACACCCTTAAACAACCAGAATTTTTCTGAAGTTGCACCTGCCTCCACCTCTCTCTGTCTCTCACACACTCCACAGGATGGGTTCCCCTCCATCCACTGGACTAAGGAATATGGAAGTTGGAAGGGAAATCATTAAAGATTACACTGTAATGAATTGTGCTCTGTCTACAAACCGAAGAGGAAGAATAGGCAAGTTGGCTTGTATTCTACAGTAGATTGGGTGTCAACTGAATGTATTACAAAGGACACACTGGTGTTCTTCATACCCAAAGCTGCAATACAGGAGAACAGATGAAGTCTTGCAATCCGAGGTTTTCAGTTTAGAGCTGCAAGCTAAGATCACGCAAGGCACTCCAGAGATGGGGCATTTCCTCTTTTCCCCAATCCAACTGTCACCTGTGATTACGGCTGCCTAACTCAACAATCAGGAAAATCAACAGACTGGTTCACACCCAACCATGATCTGGCACTTTGGGAACTACCCCTGTGCTTGCATGCTTAGTTACAGGCCGCTTGGTTTGCAGCAAACTCTAAAGCAGGACTGCAAATCACGACATGAACTTGCAGGGCAACTGCAAACCATGCTTGCATGTGGGCATACGAGTGCAAGCATCAAACACATAATACTAAACACTGTTTTGGCATTATGAGCAAAGCCAATGAATGAGCTAGAAGGTGGAATTTTTATAACAAGTATGTGTGTACTACAGAATTAGTTTGCACCTCCATGAAGTCTGTGCTTTTGCACATAGGACTCAATTGTTCCACACTGTTATTGATCCATTTATTATCTATATAATGAATGAATCTGTATCTATGTATCTGGTCTTTCCACAAAGGCATTATACTTCAGATAAAAATACAAATACCTCAAAATTATACATAAAACATCTGCAATTCTAACATGCACAGACAAATTGAAAAGTAGAAAATGGGAGGGGGGAAGGAACAGGAAGCCATATAACTTATCAATAGGCTACTATAATCTTTCCTTGAGTAAAGAGGGCTTGCCAGTCCCCTCCTATCAATACACTGAAAGTGTGTTGCTTGTGCAGGAATCTTTATAACATCAAACAGTATCCTAAATTCTCAAGGCTTCTAGTACCTCAAGAAGCAAGATGGTCCAGGCAATCAAGTTTCTAACAAGATGGGTCGG